ATTTTTCGCGCTTTTCGTGAAACTGAGCAGAGAAAAGATATAAATGTCTTCAGCTTAGTTTCAGAAGACCTTGAATTCTACAACTTTGCCCAACAACTTAGTCTTGTTATCTTCTATCAGTTCCACGAAAACCGCAAAAAACCGTGACAACCCGAAAAAAATGAACATACTCACCTTTAACCATTTTTAAGTCGAAAAAAACTTACTCTTCTTTTTCATAATAAAATGAGTGAAACATACACTGCTAGGGCTTTTTTTAACACTCGAACGTTCACCTGGGTCTGGCCAGACCTTTTTCGTTTTTGCTCATTAATTCAACATATTTCTAATTTAGCTTGCGACTTGAGCTCCGAGTTACCTGCCTTAAATTTCATTGGCTATCGATCTAGCAAAAAAAAAGTGGAGTGAATAGAAGAATGAATTACATACACTATGACAATGTAAGCAATGTTACCGAATAATAATGCAAATTAATCAAAAAACTTTGAGCGGCCGATAGCACTTGCATGTGAATGATCGGTCACTCACCAGTCTTCGCTTGAACATCAAATAAGGAACACCAACGAACCTATATGGACAAAAATTGTAGTAGTTTACCAACTTTGCAACTTTGCTGAAGACAGATATACTTATCTCTTATCATTCTCGTGAAGAATGAGATGGAACGCATACCTTATTTCCATACAAATGTATAGGAGTCAAGCCAGACACGAGGTGAGCGTTCGAAGGTTTTAAAATGGGTGACTCTACGAGGGTTAAGTCGTCCAGAAGTATCGCTAACTTACTAAATTTACTTTTTGGAAGTTATGATTAGCCTATGCTGAATATCGAATGGACGTCATTAGCAGGAAGCGTGCTATATTTGGGCGTATGCTTTTTATTGTGTATCCATTCGACACACTTTGTTTTGAAGACTCCACAATTCGATTCATTTGAAAGTCGACCGATTTCAAGACAACAATATTTGGTAACCAAAAAACTCATTCAGATTAAAATGTTTTTGATTTGTTTTGCTTCGAAGTTTATTTCGATAGCTGTTATTTCTACTTTACCCATTAGTGCCGGGAGCATTATTTTTCGAAAAATTCTTGAATTTTTTTTAAGTTTTACTTAAACACAAACAAAATACGAAAATGTCTATTCAATCTTAGGTTTTTTTTATCAAGATTAATATCTATAGTTTAAAATAATGATGCGAAAGATGGAAAATTTATGACATTTTCCGAAGAAAATCGCGATTTTTCACCACACCTTTTTTTTTTTACTATAAATCCAAAAAAATGCCACAAAAGAAGATTTTTTGACAATTTTTCTTTGCAGTCTCAATTATGGCATTAGACGACATGTTTCTATGCTCGCGTAAATTTGAAACTCCGTTTCAAAAGAAAATAATAGCCAAATGTTTGGAAATTTTCCGATTAATTCCCGTGTGTTGACCCCCCAAATTTGTTTTGCCCAAATTCAACATGCGACATTTTTTTGGTATCGAATTACATGGTATCAACTATGTATTTTATGACAGTGTCAATCTTTCTCTTTTAAATGAACATTATTTTATAAGAAAAAAATTAAGTTTGTCAGAGTTGGTAGCACCCCGCGCGAACATTTGTCGGTTGATGCCATATGGCATCGTCGGCGCTAATGGGTTAAATTTATATACAACAGCATAGATCTATTAATCCATGATTTTATTTACAGTTGGCTCATGATTCCTCAACAGTTTATAGCATCAATATGTTGGCCTCAATTGTTGAAAATATCGAAAAACATATCCGAGTATAATCATTATCAATGAAAATGATTCCGAAGACATATATTCGTGATTACAAAAATGTAAATTGATTGGAAGTCTTTACTAAGTCCAATGGATACATTACAAAAATGGTTTGAATTCTCTCATAAAAACCCATAGACTTAACCCTCTAATGCATATATTTTATACAGAGCTGGGAATTTTTTTCCATGCTTATTTTACCTCATAAGCACTTAAAAAAATATTCATAATCTGGTATAATTCTGGAATTATCAATAAATCGCAAAAATCAAAATGGTCTTATAAGTACAGTCATGCATTTACGACCAATATGGAAATTTCGAAGTATATGAACAAACCGAATTTGCATAGCTGTACTTATAAGAACAGCTTGCAAATTGAGTGATGTTGACATCGGAATTCGTGAATATCATTTTTTCTGGATTATTTGTGATAAAAATAGGTTAAAATAAAATGAAAATAAAATTCCACATTAAACCAAGCACACAAAATATCAAACAAAAAGAAATCCAAATTGCATGGCTGTACTTATAAGAACAGTATGCAAATTGACGGACAAATGTTGCACAATTGTAAAAAATCAACAGGACACGAAACGAAAATAATTTATTTTTACGGAAACGTCGTTTTCTTGTACAAATGTTGTTATAACTTGACACTGGTTGACCGCACACAAAATTTTTATGAGAAAGAAATGTGCGCTAGTGTTCTCCAACGAAAACTGTCATACATTATTTTGTGACATAATCAATGATTCGCATTATAGAAAGGTTTAAATGAACCAACCTTATAAGTTCACGTATGCACTAGAGGGTTAAGACCGCACAAAAATAAACAAAAAGTTTTTCATCTTATTGCGTCATTGAATGCAAATACTTGTCAGAATAGATGACGCGATATTATATATCACATATTCTATACGTTGTGAGCAGTACAGGTACGATGTTATGCTCAATATTCTATTATACGTCTAATTGACTTTGCACTCCTTCGTAAGCCACACGGATAAGTGCATCGATTACAACCATTAATGCAAATCGTTTTATACGAATCACTTGAACGAAGCGTGTCTGACTCGTGCCGGCAGTTGCTATGATTGATTTCATTGAGAGAGTCCAATTAAT